CCTTGATGACACCTTTACCCACAGGATATATATATGTGTGTGTGTATATATATATATATATATTTATATATTATCTCTATTTAGTCTAATGTCATGGTAATTTAAAAGCTTTTGGCTTGTTCATTTCTTTTTCTTTCTTTTACTTGAACAGAACTTGTACATAATGTTTTAGTATTTTTCTTGCAAGTATAAAGTTTTTAAGTTGAACTGAAACAACCCCAACCACAGAGTGATTTCAAAAATGTCTCCTTTTGTATTTGAAGAAGAAGAAAATTAAACCTTCGAAATATTTGGTTGTTTTAACTTGCAGGTTTCAACTAACTTAAATGTCAATTAAGTTAGTGCTGTGAGAGAAATTTCAGACAGTCAGCCTGTTTTGTTTGTTTTGCATTTTAGAACTAAGACGCTACCTGTACATAAAAAAACTTCTGGCTTTAAAGAAAGCTCTGGCTGAATGATAGTAGCATCTAGATTTGAATCAAGACAACATTAGCCTGATATATGATTAGAGCTCTCATTAGACAGATTCAGGAGGACACAGTGCTTGACATCCTCGTTGTTCACTGACAACGACAGGAGGATGCTCTAAGAACTGAGTTTTCAGGGAACTGACCTCTCATCAGGCGAGTCCACATGGAAGGTCCTCTCTATGACGGTGGTCCACTGGAGGCAGCGTATGATGAAGGTGTTTGGCTTCGGTCTCTCTGTTTTCATCAGCTGACATTCTGAAACAGGCAGCCAGAGGTTAAGTGGTTTATTGTCAGTAAAATTACAACAACGTTTCAAAAGAAGGGACAAGCTAGGAGCTTCTAACTGTACATAGAATTAGATGTAGATCTGGTGGGGGTGCTTTTCATTACATACAGTTGGTCCTGCACTGATGAGCTGATATCATTCACAACTGTGTCCATAATAGAGTTTCTGTATCTCAGTGTGTGTGTGTGTGTGTGTGTGGGGTTCATGAATGTCTTTTTTGTGTGGGTTTGTGGTGTTGTTGGGGGGGTTTGTCTTCTTTTGTTTAGTTATCGTGGCATTTTCTATTATTTTCTATCTAATATTCTACATGCTGCAGTCATTTATTGTAAGGCTCACTGAATTTACTAGTAATAAGTGCTGCAAAATTTTAATTGATTTTAGCAACAACTATGGTAATTATGACAAACATTTGTACTGTGAAAAAGTGAAATAACTTGATAATACTTGAACTCAAAGACATTCATGTTAAATATCATAATTAAGAAAAGATGCAGCTTTGTTTTTTCATTTGTTAGTTTAAAAATAGGCAATAACTTCAGCCACCCATGATTCAAATAAAGGTGCTTTCCTGTGCCAAGGGATATTATGTGCTGCAGCACATACGCATCTGGCGAATATCCGAGGAGACACATTTCTGTGAAAATGGGCAATGCAGTAGGCCATTATTACACAAATGCGTAATACAGTACACAAACGCAGAAACGTACGCACACATAGCCAGATGGGACTGTGAGAACGCTGTGGGAAGGAATGCATCTTCATTGTCCCTCAGCAGTCTCTGTGGTTATTGGGGACAAGAGCTGATGAAAAAGAACATAATGATCCATCCTCTGACCTCTTCTTCTTTGTTCTACATATATCACCCTCCATTTTCCTCTCCTGTTTTCTCCTCCCCTCTGTTCTCCTTTTGTCTACGGTCATTCTCTCCTGCCCTCATCTCTCCTCCACCCATATCCTCCCCTCTTCCTCCTCTCCTTTCCTCTCACCTACCGTCCTCGGCTATCCCTTTTTCCAATTACTTTCTGTTTAAGTGTGGCACAGCACAGCACGTCATGGCTCAGCCTAAATATAGACAGGAAGGTTAATGACAACACCACTCAGGTCGTACACGCGGCAGACTTTCAATGTAAATTCACACACACACAAAGAAGTTACTACCTGATCCGTGAGTATGGCCTGCTGTGCTGCCAGAAAACAAGGTCATGCTATGGGTTGATGCCAAAAAACACTCACACCCACTCATGGACAAACACACACACACACACACACACACAAAAAAAGTGATATTGAAGTTTGAATGCTGAAATTGGGTTGTTTGCCACAGCAGGCAATTGTGAAATCTGTGTAGCGTTTTAGTGGGTGTATGTGAGTGCATGCATCAGTGTGTGTGTGTGTGTGTGTGTGTGTGAGCGACAGCCTTGTATGTATGAGTCCCTCTGCAGGGAACAGGCCTGTACCATCTCTGTTCCATCTGACCACTTCTGTTGTTCACACACACATAAACACACACACAAGCACACACAAATAAACAAACACACAC